TCCAGCTTCGGTGGTTCTTTCTATCCCTGAGCAGTAGCTGACATCAGTCTTTGTTCAGTTGGATGCAAAAATAAGCTGTTGACTGTCAGTGATGCTGGGATGTTCTATTGTACGTTTCACAAATTCAATCAACAAAATTGATGAATTGTTGTGAACTTCAACTTTTTAATGCATTATTCTTGCTGTAAAAAAAATCTTAAGCCATGTTCAAAGAGGTGTATCATTTTTAAACTACATACTAATTCATAAGTACCATTGAACTACCTTGCGTCCTGTTCATAGTTCATAGTTGACAGGGCTGGATTATGAGGAGAGACTGAGTAGACTGGGATTATACTCATTGGAATTCAGAAGAATGAGGGGAGATCTTATAGAAACGTATAAGATTATGAAGGGAATAAATAAGGTGGAGGCAGGGAGGTTTCCGCTAGCAGGTGAAACCAGAACTAGAGGGCATCACCTCAAAATAAAGGGAAGCAGATGTAGGACTGAGGTCAGGAGGAACATCTTCACCCAAAGGGTTGTGAATCTGTGGAATTCCCTGCCCAGTGAAGCGGTTGAAGCTACCTCGCTGAATGTTTTTAAGGCAAGGCTAGATAAATTTTTGTACAGTAAAGGAATTAAGGTTTATGGTGAGTGGGTGGGTAAGTGGAGCTGAGTCTCAAAAAGATCAGCCATGATCTAATTAAATGGCGGGGCAAGCTCAAGGGGCCAGATGGCCTACTCCTGCTCCTAGTTCGTTCTTATGTCCTCTGAGACGGTAATTTTCAAAGTGTTATGTGCCATTCCGTCAGCAGAACATTTAAAATTTCCATTACCTAAAAACAATTACTTTATTTTTTTTAGAAGTATGTTTCCACTTCCACCCTTACTACATGTGGATGTCACGCTGTTGTCATATTTTGCATAAAGTAAAATAAATTGTGTTAATTAAAGAACCTTTTTACTCTCTGCTGGTGAGAATTCTTCAATCTTATTGGCTGACCAGGCTGCCTGCACCTTTGACTATTGCTAGACACAACAACATTTAAAATCACGTTGGAACAATGAAAATTGATACCTGTGGAGCCCACTAATTTTTCTTTTTGGAAAGTGCTCCTTCTCACCTCTCACCACATACCTCAACCTGGGCCATTGTGATGCAGAGAAAGTAGATTTGGTTTGTGCAATATTTTATTTACTACATGTAACTCTGGACTAAGGGGGAAAAAGTTAGCAAATATTCCCATTTTTTTGACAGTGTGTATTGATGTCTGTTTGATAGTGGCCATGTGGTGCGATAAGTCAGACTTTGTAATCACTGCCATTGCCTGAATAGACTGTCTCCTAACTCATGACGGATGGCCACGTGAATAAAAACCTGGAACTTGGGACGTATACGTTGCTTGTGGAAGTGTGCCCAAAGGAGTAATTAGCTTTCGGTAAAGCAAGGGCTTAGATAGTTGTGTTGTTGTGCTATCTTCATTGTATTTTGTGAAGTCAGTAGAATGACCCAGGAGTCAGTGCACAGCAGGTTGTATGGGAAAGACGTTATCATATAAGAGTCATACTGCACAAAAACAGATTCTTCAGTTCAACTTATCCACACTGACCACGTTTCCTAAACTAAACTAGTCCTATTTGCCTGCATTTGGCCCATATCCCTGTAAACCTGTCCTGTTCATATACCTGACCAACTGTCTTTTAAATGTTGTAACTGTGCTTGCATCTATCACTTCCTCTGGCCATTCCACATACAAACCGCACTCTATGTGGGGAAAAAATTGCCCCTCAGGAGTGCCTGTAGCAAAGTCATCCCTTTTTTCTCTTGGCCTGATAGTTCTGACTGGTAAGTACATTAAACATCTGTCTAAGCAGGTGGAACTGGCTTAAACATCTTTTACATTTTGTGCATTTGGGTATGCACAAGCAGGTTTGTGGATGCACCAAATGAGAACCTTCTGCAGGAGGTACAGGACTAAGAATCACAATGGAGCAGAATACCTCTTGTTTCTGACAATGTGTCAAGTTCATTTTTGCTGATTGTATCCATCTTTGTCTTCCTGCCTGAACTGTACACAGTTGGCAACTTTTATACACATGCAACTTATCGTCCTCTACAGTATAGAACTTGAATAGAGTCATGCAGAATGGAAACAGACCCTTCGGTCCAACTCGTCTGTGCCCACCAGACATCCCAATGTGATCAAGTTCCATTTGCCAGCATTTGGCCCATATCCCTCTAAACCCTTTCTATTCATATACTCATCAGGTACCTTTTGAATCTTGTCATTGTACCCTCCTACTTCACTTCTTCTGGCAGCTCGTTCCATACACACATCATCTTCTGCATGGAAAAAGTTACCCCTCAGGTCCTTTTTAAATCTTGCCCCTCTTTTGAACTGCACCATCCTAGGGAAAAGACCTTGGCCACTCACCCTATCCACGCCCCACTTGATTTTATAAACCTCTACAAGGTCACCCCGAGCCTCCGACGCTCCAGGGAAAATAGCCCCAGTCCATTCAGTCTCTCCCTATAACTGAAACCGTCCAGTCCCAGCAACATCCTTGTAATTTTTTTATACCCTCTTAAGTTTAACAACGTCTTTCCTATAGAAGGGCGACCTGAATTGAACACAATATTCTAAAAGTGCTTTACCAATGTCCTATACAATCACAACATGACATCCCAATTCTTATATTCAGTGTTCTAACCAATGAAGGCAAGCATGCCAAACGCCTTCTTCACCAGTCTGTCTACCTGTGACTCCATTTTCAATGTAGAGGAGCCCCTGTACTCCTAGGTCTCTTTGTTTAGCAACACATGCCAGGGCCATACCGTTAACTGGATAAATCCTGCCCTGGTTTGCTTTACCAAAATGCAATACCTCACATTTATCTAAATTAAACAGCATCTGCCACTCCCCAGCTCATTGGCCCATTTGATCAAGATCCCATTGCACTCTGAGATAATCTTCACTGTTCACTACACTGCTTATTTTGGTGTTATCTGTAAACTTAGTAATCATAGCTCCTACATTCACATCCACATCATTTATACAAATGACAAAACCAGTGGGCCCAGCACTGATCCCTGTGACACGCCACTAGTCATGGGCCTCCAGTCTGATAAGTAACCCTCTACCACTACCCTCTGTCTCCTACCTTCAAGACAAAATGCTTCAGTAATGTGGTTTTTCTTTTCAGCAATGTCTACTTATTTATTCATCTACAGCTATCTCCCTTGTATCCCACCCTCTCATTCTTTAGTTTTGGTGTCTTAACTTTAACAATATTCAAAAATACTTGCCATTTAATCAGCTCACCCTCTGAAATACACAGAGTTTATAAATTTGATGTATTTCCTGTTTTTTTTTTTTTGGAGCATCAACCCACTCTGGTTTGCAAGCTTTAGGCATTTTATTTCTGCTCTGATTTTGCAATCATTTATACACATTATAAATAGAGAGGAAAATGCTGAATATTGAACAGGAATGGAACCATGGGTAAATATACTACAAATTAATCCTGGTAGAACAGTCTCAATTTTTAGCCCTTCTAATGCTGTTTGCAGATTAGAAATTAAAGTTGGGATCTCCAAAGTCTAGAAGTTGAGCTTTTATACCCATTTTTGACTTGATCTAAAGGTCTTGTGAAAAGTTACAGGCTTGTATTCATGCAGCACCTAACCACAACTGTCAAATAAAGCACCTTGAATCTAAATGCTTCTTTTAAAAAACAATATCAATAAGGGGCGAAGTGATTCATTCTGGAAGGTCAAATTTGAATGCAGAATACAGGGTTAATGGCAGGATTCTTGGCCGTGTGGAGGAACAGAGGGATCTTGGAGTCCACGTCCATAGATCCCTCAAAGTTGCCACCCAAGTTGATAGGGTTGTAAAGAAGGCGTATGGTGTGTTGGCTTTCATTGGCAGGAGAATCAAGTATAAGAACCATGAAGCTATGCTGCAGCTCTATAAAACTCTGGTTAGGCCACACTTGGAATATTGTATCAGAGATAGTAGGAACTGCAGATGCTGGAGAATCCGAGACGTGTTCAGTTCTGATCACCTCATTATTAGGAAAGATACGGAAGCGTTAGAGGGTGCAGAGGAGATTTACCAGGATGCTGCCTGGACTGGAGGGCAGGTCTTATGAGGAAAGGTTGAGGGAGCTAGGGCTTTTTTCATTGGAGCGAAGAAGGATGAGAGGTGACTTGAAAGAGGTGTACAAGATGACGAGAGGCATAGATAGAGTGGATAGTCAAAGACTTTTTCCCAGGGCGGAAATGACTATTGTGAGGGGCCATAATTTTAAGGTGATTGGAGGAAGGTATAGGGGAGATATCAGAGGTAGGCTCTTTACACAGAGAGTGGTGGGCATGTGGAATGCGCTGCCAGTCATGGTAGTGGAGTCAGATACTTTAGAGATTTTTAAGCGACTCTTGGATAGCACATGGAGGATAGTAAAATGTAGGGTATGCAGGGTAGATTGATCTTAGTAGGGTAATAGGTCGCCACAACATCGTCGGCCAAAGGGCCTGTACTGTGCTGCACTGTTCTATGTTCTGTGTTCTGTGTTCTAAGGGGTGATGTAATGAAATGTTGACCAGGGCACTTGGGAAAACTTTATTTCAAGTTGCACCATGGAATGTTTGTAACTGTAAGAACAGAACCTCTGATGCAGGCCTCACTCTGCACTGTAGAGTATTTCAGCTTAGAATTTCTGCTCTTGATTTGTTTGTGCGCTGGAGCTTTGCTTGGATGTTTAACTGGGAGCATGTTATACATGTTGTATTTAAAGTAATAATTATGACTCGCCATTTAAAGCCCACAGTTTATTAAAATTGCTACCATGGATGTATTAATTCGTCACATGAATTTACTAAACTGAACATACTTTTGTCTGGCCACAGATTGCGCGGGCAGGTATAAAGTAAAGCACAAATGTCAATTCTTCAGTGTGATGATGTGATATTGCTAAGAGTGCTCTGTAATGTTTGTGTTCTCCTTCTGCTACAGGTGGGTACAAAGTGTTTCAGAAGCTAACAAAGTCGTATTCACTAAGGTAGGTTTGTTCAGCTGATTACTGTCACACGCGTCGGTGATCCCTATCCAAGACTTCCCGGTTGTCCCACGTTATAAAGACTTTACCACCTACTTCTTCAAGGAATGACCAAAATGTTAGTTGGAGTAACTGCCATCTCCTTCTTTGCTGTTCCTTCTTGGTGGCTGTTCTTGTTTATTGCAAAGTCATGACACCATTTTTAATGATGGATCAATATGACTGTCTGTGTGGAGTTTGCACATTCTCCCCGTGTCTGCGTGGGTTTCCTCCGGGTGCTCCGGTTTCCTCCCACAGTCCAAAGATGTGCAGGCTAGGTGGATTGGCCATGCTAAATTGCCCATAGTGTTCAGGGATGTGTAGATTAGGTGGGTTATAGGGGGATGGGTCTGGGTGGGATGCTCTGAGGGTCAGTGTGGACTTGTTGGGCTGAAGGGCCTGTTTCCACACTGCAGGGATTCTGTGATTTAGGTCAGAAAAGGGGCATTGTTTTAATGCTAATGGCACAGTCTTTTCTGAGAGCTTTTGAGATTGTCTTTGAAACATTATCTTTGGCCCCTGTGTGATTGGCTTTCCTGCATAACCGAGCCAAATGCCTGCTAGGACAGCTTTGAGTCAGATATTCTGAACAAAATTTATTATAATAGCAGACTTGTGATGATATTCAGTGAAGTGTCGCTGTAGCTTCGTTGGCCTTGGATTTGATATATTCTGTAAAAAGTTAAAAATTTGTGCTTTATTCAGAAACACTCCAATGAATAGGAGTCTGGTGAGGACAGGGCCTAGTGGCTCACAAATGGTTGTATGACAAAGAGATGAGAAGTACAGAAACATTCTGTCACAAGGAGTCATTATCAAATCAGAGCAAGGGCAATTTTTTTTTTTTTGAAAGGCCAGTTTATGCTGGGATCAACAAAGTCATCTGTGGGGGGAAAAAAACATTGAGTGAACGTTACTCTCCAGCACAAAGGACGCAAATCTTACCCAAAGCTTTTGTGGTAGAGTGAGCAACTGACAGAACATAAGATGCTGTTTGAGGCTTTCCCTTTACAAGGTGGGTAAGAATAGGGACTTCATAAAGCTGGGGCTCAGATGCATGCTGTCTAATTGTAAACACTTCTTCAAAAATGTTATTAACAGAAAAACTACATTTCATTATAAGGTTTAGGGGTACTATATATACACGTTTTAATATAATGCACAATCTGACCAGAAAATTGTTTTCTTTTCCTCCATTCTTCATGAACTATGCAGTTTTTTTTATTGCCATACATGGTGAAGGATATTTATTCTTGACCGTGACGTCGCATGAGCAAACCCAATCCTTTCCCTGGAATAATGTTACCTTGTTAAGAGTTATGTGATGAAAATATATTACCTGCTACTAAGGAACATGACTCACTTATTACATTCAGAAACGGTGTATTTAACATACTTTTTGGTGCTGAAACCTCGTCACAATGGTTTAACAGTAGAAATATATTGACTTTCTTTCTATTTTGCAGCGAGCTTGAGGAGCAATTCTTAAACTACTTATACAGGTAAATAATCAATGACTGCAAAAACCACCAAGATTGTGTTCCGTTTGATATCAGGAAACTTTTGAGATTCCAATAAATATATGACCTTCAGTTTATTTTTTCTGGTTGCTTGAATTTTTTCAATATATTTTCCATACCATAGTGCTGAAATGGATGTCACCAACTTTTTTTAAAATATTTTCTAATCAACCTGCTCAGAGTTGCTATCTCACACCTCTGGAGCAGGTGGGATTTGAACCCAGGCCTCCTGATCCAGAAGTAGAGACGCTACCACTGTGCCACAAGAGCCCCCTCTGTTTTGATAAGTGTAATCAATTCTGCACAGTTGGTGGGTATTAGCCGAGCATTTACTGGTGTCCCTACACAAGGAACAGACTGAAGGTGCTTCTTGGGTAAGGAGGTACATATTTGTAACGTGTATCACTGTAAACAAATTGATCTTTTAAGAAAGTGTCTTAAGACTGGCTTCTGTTCTGATCTTTATCACCTGGTTTCCTGGAGTTTCACAAAACTCCATGTTTGTTTGTAAAGAAAGAAGGTAATTTATAATTACAGGTTTCTCTTTTATCTTTTTTTGTCATTTGTACCACTGCTAGCATTAATATAGGAGTGAATCGTTATGCTGAGGTTGTACAAGATATTGGTGAGGCATCCTGTAGAGTATTGTGCCCAGTTCTTGTTGCCCTGTTACAAGAAGGATATTATTTAGCTGGAGAGGGTTCAGAAGAGATTTACCAGGATGTTGTCAGGAATGGAGGGTTTGAGTTATAAGGAGAAGCTGGATATGCTGGGACTTTTTTCACTGGAGCATCGGAGGTTGAGGGGTGACCTTTATAGTGGTTTATAAAATCATGAGGGGCATAGATGAGGCGAATAACAGGTGTCTTTTCCCTAGGCTGGGGGATTTCCTTAGGGGTCATATATTTAAGGTGAGAGAAGAAAGATTTTTAAAAAGACTTGAGGGGCAATTTTTTTCTTTTTGCAAAGACAGTTGTTTGTGTGTGGAATGAGCTTCCGGAGGAAGTGGTGAATGTAGGCACGGTTAGAATGTGTAAAAGACATTTGGATAAGTACATGAATAAGAAATGTTTGGAGGGATATGGGCCGAGCACAGGCAGGTGGGACTAGTTTAGTTTGGGAACATGGTCGGCATGGACTGGTTAGACCTAAGGGTCTGATTCCATGCTGTATGACGCTATGACTCAAACAAATAATCATGTGTGTATATCACTGTGTCTGTCTCTTCCAGTTCTTTGATTTTTCTGTCTGTGTTTCTAAGATTTACAAGAAAAAGTCAGGATCAGATGAATTGCTCTTGCAGAGAGCAGGCACATATATGGCAGACTGAATGGCCACTATTCTGATTCTGTCCTATACTCCTGTATGTATGTTGGGTTTGTCTATCTAACAGGCATTTACAACAAAGATACTTCAGTGTCATTATAGTAACTGTTTAATGCCTATCTGGTACAATCTAATGATAGTGCAATTAGTCAATGACTGGTAATGATTTATTCAAATTACATCTTTTAAAAACAGAAAAGCAGGATATGAAATAAAATGAAAATGTAGACCTACAATCTACAATATCCAGCCTCTTGTTTAAGTTTAATTAGATCACCACCTCAGAATAGTTTAGAAGTTATTTAAATGATTCTTAAATTACAGGTGTCTAGTATGCCCCAATTCAGAATTGGCTCTCAGTCAACTGAGTCCTGCTGTTTGCTTGAATTTTAATGAACGGAAGTGTATGTACAATGGGGAAATAGTGTAAAGGGGAAGAAAAACTGAAGGTTCTTAATTGGAAAACATTTAACATATCAATCATGATTAATGTCCAATAACTTTTTGGAGCATGAAGCTAATTTCATTAGCTGCAATACAATGACCTGTTTCTAAAATGAATGCTCAGTGACGTCTGAAGAATTTAGTAATTAATCTGCAACTCAGCCATAATTAGGGCAGAAATGTATTACATATTTTCACATGCTGGTTAAATGTTGAAAGAACATTGCATTCAAAAAATTGGCTTAACCGTACAATTGTGGGTCAACGATAGATTATTTAAATACTTAAAACTTGTATTTTGTGCTGAGATCAAATTAGAGCAGTCGAGTTTGGTGTTCTGAGAAAGGGTTACTGGTTTTAACTCTGTTTCCTCTGTACTGATGCTACCAGACCAGTTGAGCTTCTCCAGCAATTTCTGTTTTTGTTTGTTTCAGGTCTCCAGCATCCAAATTTCTTTGTCTTATTTCCTTTGGTACACTGTCTACCTCAATGAACTTACCTACCATCCCTACAAATGACAATGCACTGTCTCCTGCAGGGATGGTAGGCAAATCCATTGAAGTAGACAGTGCACCAAAGGAAATAAGACAAAGAAATATGGATGCTGGAGATCCCTAATGTGAAATCTACATCATTGATCAACAACTTCAGCATTACTCCCCAACAGTAATAGACCTATTGACTAAAACACCTTCAAATACAAAATTCCCATTACTTGTGTTTAGACTTACACCTGCTATGAGTACATTAGTTATTTTGTACCAAGTTTAATCATTTGTGCAGAATTATCTGGAACAATACAATGTTCTTCCACCAAAACTACTGCCTTAGCATTCAGCTTCCAGTCTTCATATGCCCTGTCCTATGGCAAAAGCCAAATCTTGATCTCTTTGAGTCATTTTTATGTCCCACACTGTCTGTTTCCACACTCTGTTCTGAGAATAATTCAGTATCATTTCTCTTATTTCTCCAATTGCTGTACGGATTTGGAAATGAAGATGTGTTTGTGGCATTATTCATAATCATCATAATCTGCTGCTTCCCTTGTTTTAGAAACTTTAGACTTCCAGGTGACACCTAATTCCTGGGAGTCCTGTCAGTAAGTTCAACCAGTGATGATGCTGTTGAGATTTTCACAATTTTAATCAAACTTCATAGCTTCGTTTCATTGATCAAATACCAAGTCTTTTTCTCTAGAAAAGTCTGGTACTGTCCCTTTACCAGATATCTACACTTTTGCTGGTAAGCTTCTGGAAATAACATAGTTATTCTTAACTTCTGTCTCAATTGTGTCATTGGGCGAAATTGTATAGGAGTCTCAGTGACAGGGGGAGATGTTTGGGAAGATTTGTGACAGAATCGTTTGAGAAGTCAGGAGCATCTTGCTGTATCGGCAGCATGGCAAGTTTCTCACTAGGCTACAGTAAGTTGCTAAGTAAGGGAGATTATGGCTCTTTAAGCACCTTTATTAATGCTACAGCTGGCCTTGTTAATATTCAGATTTCTATCTAGCCAAACAAGCCAGATTTCGAGAAAACCTGACATGGAAATCAGAGCGGGTACCTGACAAATTCAGTTCCTGGCTTGCTTCAAAAGACCTCCATGTTGGACATTGGGCACCAATGTCTAAGTGGCACCACGTTCCAACCTCTAAAAGCCAATATGGCAAATCTCCAATCCACATTCAGGGTGCTTTTGCACTTCGATGCTGCATTTCAGGCAGTACTGACAAGTATTGTGGTAATGCTGCTCTAAGGACACGTAGACTGGACCAAGCTGCTCGCTCACGGTTAGTGTTCACTCCCTCTGAGCCTGCCTGGATGCTCACAGCATCCCTGCCTTGCATTGCTTTTTGTGCTTCGTCACTCAGCCAGAAATATCAGATTCATATTATTTCTACCTTGCTGTGCTGCTTAGTGCTGACACAAACCCAGCACTTGCTGTGGATTTTTTTTTCCCCCTTATTCATTAAGGGGATGAGGGCGTTGCTGGCCAGGCAGCATTTATTGCCCGTCCCTAATTGCCCAGGGGGCAGTTAAGAGTCAACCACATTGCTGTGGGTCTGGAGTCACATGTAGGCCAGACCAGGTAAGGATGGCAGTTTCCTCCCCTAAAGGACATTAGTGAACCAGACGGGTTTTTCCTGACAATCGACAGTGGATTCATGGTCATCATTAGATTCTTAATTCCAGCTATTTTATTGAATTCAAATTCCACCATCTGCTGTGGTGGGATTCGATCCCAGGTCCCAAGAATGTTATCTGGGTCTTTGGATTAACAGTCCAGTGATAATACCACTAGGCCATTGCCTCCCCATAATGATATATCAGGATGATATCAGGCCTCAGTAAAATCAAGAAGTTTGATTAGGGCACAATAAGTCAGGGACAGCCTTGGAAAACACTCCAGGTGCTTGGACAACGTCAGTCAGTTGATCAGGGAACAGCGGGTGACAAGATGGAGCCATATTGGAATACGATTGCCCTAGGAATGAGATAGGTTAGTTAGAGGATAGTTTGATAAGATGTTGCAAGCAAACCTACTAAGCCTCATGGCAAAAATCCCTCCAAAAATCTCAACATGGCTCACACTTGATCAAAAAATATAAGATTCAGCCCATTGTTAGTGAATTGCTAATCAGTAAGAGTTACTCCAGTGCTTTCCTGACCAACAACACAGATAAACACATCCATGTTTCTTTTTGCCATTATAGCTTTGTAACAATTTTATTAAAAGGGCAAAATACATTTCCGCTCTTTCTTCACTGAATTTAGACACCCTAGAGAGGTGCTAACTCAAAACCAGGGGTTAAATCTAATCAGTCTTCAATTCTTCCAGCTAAAAGTTGTGATCTGTCAAATGGAGTACACTATGAGAAAGCATGAAATTTTCCCTTGGTTGGAAGAGTGAAAAAGTAGCATATTATCGAAATGGTAAGGGATTGCAGGGCATTGTGGGTGTCCTGTTGCACGAATGGCAGAAGGCTTATATGAAGGTTGGAAAAACCCATCTGGTTCCCTGGTCCTTTAAGGAAGGAAACTGCTATCCTTAGGGTCTGGCCTACATGCGACCCCAGACTCTTGACTGTCCTCTGGGCAATCGGGGATGGACAATAAATGCTGGCCTAGCTAGCGATGCCCACATTCCGTTAATGAATTAATAAAAACTTGTTGATGCAATCAAAATCTTTCTCTGCCCAGTTCAAATTTTGTGACTTCCCTCTGTCTTTGCAATCCAGAGCTTTCCTTGTTTCTTTAAACTCTTTGAAGCTCTTTATCTTTTTATCTTTCCTCACTTTGGATTTCTAGTTCATGTTTTCACAGCTCCCTTTCTATTTCCTCTCATTCCAGCTCGTAGTTTTTTTTTTCTGTTCATGTTGAAGGTGCTTCGATTGTAAATGAATTCTGACCAACTCAATCTGTGTTTTATCTGCATTAACTTTATCTTTTAAATCCTTCTCCTCTCACCTTAAAAATATTCCTTCTAGTTTTGAATTCTGCTACCTGAGGGAAAAGACCATTGCTGTTCACTTATTGCTGTGAGTTAGTGGAACTGTCCTAGAACATTAATCCTATAGACCTTTGTAATTATATCAGGTGGAAATGTCTTTGCAACCCTTTTGTAAACCTATCCAAAACATAGTAGTGGAGGTCTATTGTGTCTCGTCTTCCAATTCATGTTCACTGTGCATGGACGGTATAAGATCTCTCAGCAAGGGGACTTACTACCCTTCCCTGTTTTCTAAAGTGTTATCTTGATATTTAACCAGAGTAATAGGCCATGCAACAAAGTTTCACTTTTGCTTCACAGTATTTGTATTGCTACTTATTTCCATTTCATTTGATTACAGTGTGCTGATATTGATCTTATTGGCTCAGCTTTCAGGTACATGTACTGTTTTATTTAAAGCAACTTTCATTTTTTTAAGACTAAGGTTAGCGGCTAATTCTGAAACTTAAAGTCTTTCCTTGTCCTTCAGCTGAGATCATTGATTACATATTTTTGTTTCCAAATACCGTATTTGTATAAGTACCCTGCTTGAGAATCCTGCAGAGTTTTTTTCTAAGTTTTCAAATGAATTGAGCATTTACAGGATACACATTTTATATTTACTCGCATGGTGCACTTTTTTTAAATCAGAAAAAGGAGATTGGCAATGGTCTCGACATAACACTTTCTCTGTCACTTCTCAGAATCAGTGAAGTGTTACGGTGTGGAGAGAGAGGCCATTTGGCCCATTGTGCCAGCACTGGCTCTTCGAGCAAACAGCATTACCTCCTTCCAGTCTCCTGTCTTTTCCCCATACCCTTGCATGTTATTTCTGTCTGTAATCTTCTAATGTCTTTTTGAATGCCTCAATTGAACCTGTTTTCCCCCAACTTCAGGCAGTGCAGTCCAAACCCTAACTACTTGCTGTGTGAAAATTGTTTTTTTTCTCCCCTCACATTTGCTCCCTTTAAAAATCACTTTAAACTTTGCCCTCTGATTCTTGATCCTTTTATGAGTGGGAACAGTTTCTCTCCATCTAATCTATCCAGACCGTTGTAATTTTGTAGTGGGATAGGCTTAGAAAAGCCTCATATTTATGGGTAAAGTTGCTCAAATGTGGAACTCGGTACAGCAAGGTCTGGTTGAGCTGAATGACATTGATGCACTGCAGGGAAAGATAAGTCAGTAAATGAGGTAGGAAAGGTTATTTCTGATACAGTTACATGAAGCAGGGGCTGAGAGATTTGTATAGAGAACAGATAGTGGTATAGACCTTTGGGGCTGAATGGCTATTTCTGTGCTGTTAATTCTTAGCTCTCCTACTGGGAGTCATGGCCTGGCACTGACTGTCCTTTCATTTCACTCTCCAATTTAAGTAACTCCATTGGGGAACAAACAAGCAGTCACTTCAAAAAATCTCAAGAAATGCTGGAAATACTCAGCAGGTCAGGCCGTGTCTGTGGGAAGAGAAACCGTTATCAGTTCCGACCAATGATATTAGAAATGTAATGGGGTTTAAGTCCATGAAAGAGAAGAGACTGAAAAGAGAGCAAAAAGGTGTCTGTAAATGGCTGAAAGGCAAGGAAGATTAAAAAGCATGAGGGATGATGCGAGGAAGGTATGAACATGAGAGGTAAAAGCAAGAGGTGTCTAGAGGAGGTGTAAATGGCAGAATAATGAACAGTTGCCATCCAAAAACCAAAAGAAGCAAAAAAAATCAAAGGAAGGAAATATATTGGGTATCAAGATTATAATCTGAAATTATTGAATGTAATGTTGAATCTGGAAAGCTGTAAAATATCTAACTGACAGATATAGTACTGTTCCCTGATCTTGCATTAGAACTTCACCAGAACATCAGAGGAGACCAAGGACAGTGAACAGTGTGAGGGCAATTATATTAGTGTAGTAGTGAGATTGTCTGAAATTTAGCATTGTATCATCAGGATCTTATCAGGAAAATCATGCTTAACTAAACTTCTGGAGCTGTTTAAGGATATTAGAATATATAAGGGAGAAAGAGTGCATGTGGGGTATTTTGATTTCAAGAAGTCTTTTAATAGCGTCTTGTGTAAGAGGCTAGTGGGCAAAATTTAAAGAACAAGAGATTAGAGGGAACGTACTGGCTTGAATTTGAGAATTGTTTGACAGACCAAAAACAGAGAATGGGAATAAATAGGTCTTTTTTCAGGTGGTGATTGATAGTGTGTGCAGGGTTCAGTGCTTGGGCCCTAGCAGTATCTTGAGCAATTCCAAACTTGTATCTAAATTTATCATCTTTAAGAATCAAGGAAACCATTTCCATGCACAGCAACACCCAAATTCTTGTCTCTGGTTCTAATTGAATTGTTTAATGCGTGAAATTGATGTGAAGATTTGACTATCTACTCACTGCCTTGATGGTTTCTGTTTCTGCTGTCAGGTGATGTTTATGGTGCTTTGGAGTTTCCATTCCTCAATTCCAAACGATTTCGCAGTAGCTGCTGCGCAAGGTAATGTCTAATTTGTTATCTTCTTCTGAAAACATTGGCATGATAGCTCTCTCACAAATTGGCTCTGTTCTTTCCAAATACAATATCTTAAATTGTGGCTCTCACCTTCTGTAGATGAGAGACCTAGAAGTTCTAGTTTCTGAGTTTTCTTTGACCAACTTGAAGGTAGTTAAAAATTAAGCTGAGTTTGTTGTGACTGCTACACGCCTCCCATGCAGTCATAGTGGTTAGAATATCACTGCCAGCCATATTGTGACAAGGTGCCTGTATCACAGAATAGAAGCAAGAGAATGTGTGCTCTTGAAATGTTCTAAATGAATACAGATCCTGGGATCGTGATTAGCTCATTGCTGTGTTTCCAACTCCTCACTGTTCCCCTCCTGCTCACTCTGTACCTCCTCACTGTTCACTGACCCTGAGAGTGAGGGAGGGAGGGATCAGGAGTGGGGAAACCAGGGAGATGGCAAGCTGGTTGGTGAATGGATGTGAGCCATGCGGTGAGTAAAGGCAGGGTAATGGAACAGAATGCAGAAGATAGTGTTACAGTTACAGAGAAGGTATAGAGAAAGATCAACTTTAAAATGAGAGGTCTGTTCAAAATCTGATAACAGCAAGTAAGAAGCTGTTCTTTAATCTGTTCATACATTTTTTTAAAATATAAGTGTTTCTTCTTTCCCCATATTGCAAACACTATCATAAATTGCAACAGCACAGAACAGACCACTCAGCCTGTTATGACTGTTCCCCAGCTCTTTGAGTAATCCATTTGGTCCCAATTTCCTGTTTTTTCTTTTCACCAATGTTTCCCTTTAAGTATTTATTCCTGTTCCATTTTGAAAGTTACTATTTAATCAGCTTACAGCTCATTACAGGCAATATATTCCAGATCATCATCACTGCATTAAAAAAAAAAGTTTTCTCAGTAATTTTGCAAAGCACCTTAAATCTGTGCCCTGTAATTACAAATTCTTCTGTCATTTAAAGTAGTCCTCCTAATTTACTCTATCCAAACCATTCATGATTTTAAACTTGTGTAACTAATCTTCATTTTTCATTCTCTGATGTAAGGATGGCTACTTTCTCCTGAGTCATCACGTAACAAGTTGCTTCGTGTCTTACCGAAAGCTGGCTGCCCAGATTTGAACACAGTGCTCCATCGTGGTCCATCCAGCAATTTATAAAGGGGTAGCAAGAACTGCAGATGCTGGAGTCAGAGATAACACAGTATGGAGCTGGAAGAACACAGCAGGCCAGGCAGAATCAGAGGAGCAGTTGAAGAAAGGTCTTGACCCGAAACGTCAGCTTTCCTGCTCTTCTGATGCTGCCTGGCCTGCTGTGTTCCTCCAGCTCCACACTGTGTTATCAGTAATTTATAAATGTGTTTTTTTACTGTCACTCATTCTGCAATCAAGCTATCATAATGTGTGCTATAGTAGAGACAAATAATACTGGGGTCTGCAGAGAATCATTGGACTTTATGCAGTGCCTTTAATGTCAAAATCAACCAAGGTGCTTCATAGAGACCCCGGGAATTGACATGAAACTTGGAAGAGTGAGATTAGGAGAGTCGAACAAAAAGATTTTGAAGTGGATCTGAAAGGCGAAAGGATTTGGACAGCAAGTGCCAGTGAGTGTAGAAGTTTACAACTAATGATAGAGCAGGTACCATTGATTAAGAGTGATTCAGGATTAGTTAAGACCCCCAATAGGTGTCATGGCCTGCACTCATAATTCTTTTAACCTGTGGTGGATGTGAGTTGTCTTTGGTGGTCCCTCAGAATGGAGGATGATGTCTATCAGGTGAGATGAGCCCTCAGCTGACTGAGGAGCCCAATCTTGGACTCACAGGTCTTTCCACAGTGGTGACATGTTGTTGCATTGGGAAGTGGACCTTGCTGTTCTTAGTTGGCTTCTTCTCCTTCCTGTGCTACCGCCTTTCTACTCTGTGTGTTCGAGTCACTGAGCGTCGATGTGGATTGTGCCTTGATTGATCAGGAGATGCCATGCTGATCACCTCGAGCTTTCTTCTCCTAGTCAGCAGTTTGTGTCACTGTGCATTACGGTGACATTGAGCATATCGTATACCTTTTCCTTGGTCGCTCTTTATGAGCGTTAACCAGCAGAGAATGGGAGAGGAGAACTTGCCTAAGGAGCTGGTTTCTGGGCATCTGGACATAATGGCGTGCCCATTGGAGTTGGCTGTTCAGGAGCAGGGCTCCAATACTGATAGGTTCAGCTTAACGGAGAATGTTTGTTTGTGTTGGTCCAGCAGTTCTCCTGCTTGATCCCCAGGTTCCTTATAGGGACCACTGATGGAAATACTCAAGGATCTTTAATGTAACATCAGTCATTCCTTCAAGAGGAGCAGCATGAAATATTGGACAAAATAATCATACTGAGGGAGGAAGGGTTAGAGAAGTTCGAATCCTTTAAAGTGGATAAGTCACCAGGGCCAGATAGATTGTTCCCTAGGATGTTGAAGGAGGTCGGGGAGGAAATAACAGATGTTTTAAGGATTATTTTCCTACGTTCACTGGATACAGTTTGAGGTGTCGGAGAACTGGAGGAATGCAAATGTGGCTCCGTTGTTTAAAAGGGTGCAAAAAAAATGCCAAAAATTATAGGCCAGTTAGGCTTACTTTGGTGACACGTGTTGTTCAAAATGGTCCTGAGAGATCGGATAAACTGTCACTTAAAGAGGCATGGACTGACAGGGATAGTCAGCATGGCTTTGTTAACGAAAGGTCATGCCTTACAAATTTGATTGAATTCTTTAAGGAAATGACAAGGAAGATAGATGAGGGTTGTGCTATGGATGCCATTGACATGGATTTTAGTAAGGCGTTTTGACAAGGTCCCACATGGCAGACTAGTCAAAAAAAGTAAAAGCCCACAGGATACAGGGTAACATATCAAATTGGATCCAAAGTTGACTTAGTAACAGGAAACAAAGATCAATGGCTGCTGTTGCAAATGGAAAACCTCATCAAGTGGTGTTCCACATGGTTTTGGGATCCCTGCTGTTTGTTTTATACATTTAACGCTTTGGACTTGCGCAGGGCACAATTGGGAGTTTTGCAAACGACAGAAAAATTGACCACGGGGTGGATAGTGTAGAGTATAGCTGTAAGCTCCAAAATGATATAGATGGGTTGGTGGAGGTGAGCAGATGGAGCTCAACTCTGATAAGTCTGACGTAATGGCCAAACAGTAAAGGGGTGCTACACAATAAACAGGAATATACTGAGAAGGCTCGATAAAGTGAGAGATCTTGGCATGAAAGTGCACAGGTCCCTAACGTTAGCAGTACAGGCAGATAAGATTATAAAGAAGGCATCTGGAATGCTCTCCTTCATTGGCAGAGGTATAGAATACAAAAGTAAGGATGTAATGATGAAACTGGTGAAGAATATTGTATGCGGTTCCGGTCACCACATTGTAGGAAGGATGTAATTGTACTGGAGAGTGTTAAGAGAAGATTTACTAGAATGTTGTCAGGGCTGGAGAATTATAGCTACTTGGAGAGATTGGAGTTGTTCTCCTTGGAACCGAGAAGTCTGAGGAGCGACATGATTGAGGTATACAACATTGTGAGGAGTACAGAAGCAACCTGTTTCCTTTGAACATAGAACAGTACAGCACAGTACAGGCCCTTCGGCCCATGATGTTGTGCCGACCTATTATCAAACTACCCTGCATACCCTACATTTTACTATCATCCATGTGCCTATCCAAGAGTCTCTTAAATGTCCCTAATGTATCTGACTCCACTACCACCTCTGGCAGTGCATTCCCCGCACCCACCACTCTCTGCGTGAAGAACCTACCTCTGACATCTCCCCTATACCTTCCTCCAATCACCTTAAAATTATGTCCCCTCGTGATAGTCATTTCTGCCCTGGGAAAATGCCCCTGGCTATGCACTCTATCTATGCCTCTCATCATCTTGTACACCTCTATCAAGTCACCTCTCATCCTTCTTCGCTCCAATGAGAAAAGCCCTAGCTCCCTCAACCTTTCCTCCTAAGACCTGCCCTCGAGTCCAGGCAACATCCTGGTAAATCTCCTCTGCACCCTCTCTAAAGCTTCCACATCCTTCCTATAATGAGGCAACCAGAACTGAACACAATATTGCAAGTGTGGTCTAACCAGGGTTTTATAGAGCTGCAGCATAACCTCGCGGCTCTCAAACTCCATTCCCCTGCCAATGAGAGAGTTCAAAAACCAGGGATTATAGATTCAAGGTAAGTGGCAGAAGAATTAGAGAGGATGTGAGAAAAAGCTTTTTTATTCAGATAATGGGGTGTGTCTGGACTTTGCTCTGAGTTGGTGATGGAGGCAGTGATCCTAAATTCTTTTTAAAAAGTACCTAGATCTGCACCTTAAGTGCTGTAAGCTTTAGGACTATGGACCGTCTGCAGGAAGATGGGTTTAGAAAGAGCATCTGGGTATCTTTGGGTTGGCATGGATAAGACGGGCTGAGTGGTCCCCCTTCTGTGCTGTGTTATTTCTGTGGTTCTGTGATTCTAGTAGATGGCCCAGGTTTTGCTGCAGTCAAGGAGGGTGGCATTATAGACTTTGACTCCTAGAGGCCCCTTGTTGTCAAAAACCCTTTGCAGCTAGAAGATGGCAGTGCTGGCATAACTGACTCAGTGTTGGACCTGATCCCCACCATCGTCTGGATGAAAAGGTTTCTCCTCAACTTTCCTCTTAACCTTCTGCTTCTTAGCTTAACTCCATGTTTGCTGGTCATTGACCCCTCTAAAGGAAAGAGTCCCTTCCTGTTCATCTCCCTCGCAATCTTACGCATCTCTCTCAGGTCCCCTGTCAACCTTCACCAATCTACGGAAAATAGACCCAGTCTATTCAATCTCTCCTCATAGCTCAAACCCTCCAGCCCAGGCAGAGGTTTGAAAGCGACCGTAGGCAATGTCCTCAGTATCAGCCTGGGTCACTTATTTCTGTTTTGGTAAAAAGCCATTCTATTCATCAAGCTGCAG